TAAAAATAAAACAGGCCATAACTCCGGTATAATAAATGCCACCCCAAAAAGAAAAGAATAAACTTTATTAGGTAGAAAATACTTAGAAGGAATTCTGCTAAACATTTTCATATTGAGAAACACACGTCCGACACATTTTATTTTATCATAATCTTTCATAAAATGTATAATTAAAGAATCTAAGACCAGACTAACGACAACAACCGGTGTAAGATAAATTATTTCATTCCGACACAAAGCAACCCTCAATCAAAATGAGGACATTATCAAACAGAAATAAAATTTCCACTAGACTCACACATCATCAACTAAATCCTATACTGAGCAACTAGAATTTTGATACACAATCACGCAATAATTATACGCAAACAATGCACGTGGCGTCTACTTAACCAATGAAAGTCAAATAACACAAAACTAAAAAATAAATCTGAAATAAAAGCGAAACATGTTAAATTTATAAACTTTTTCTATTTTTCTTTATTCTCTCTCTCTCTCTCTCTCTCTATATATATATATATATATATATATATATATATATATATAGTCTAGAACACTGACATTTCTAAAACTACGGTTTCTAACATGATTATTGCTGAAAGGCCAGTTTTTCGCATATTTTATATCTTATATCTTAACTTCCCATACATCTTTGTTTAATGAAAATTGTATTGAGAAGTCTTAATTTAACCGTTCTTATGACGAATATTAATTTTTGCCAAAAGATTGAATATATATATATATATATATATATATATATATATATATATATATATATATATATATATATATTGTGTGCATTTTTTCATACATACATGTTTCATTAAATAATATATACAAGTGTTGTCTATTTATTTTATGTAAATTCTTTTCATAACGTCTAATAAGCTTTATAACATTGTCATTAAACGAAGAAAGAAAATTGATACATTTTTTTAATCCAATCTAAGCTTTCGGTTTACATAAGCCATTATCAAAGATGACAATTACATTACAAAACATTAAACGATACACGGACAATAATGTGATGATAGTCTTGTTTATCTCGGCAGTAACATCCAGTCAACGGAGAGAGATATCAAAATCTGCAAAGGCAAAGCCTAGGGCATCCTTAATGGTCTGAACACCATCTGGTAGTTCTCCCTCTCTGACAGTATTTAAGGCAACGGTAGAATCAATCTTGCTCTACAGTTCAACAATATGGACACTGATGAAACAGCAAGAAGTATTACTTAACGGAACATACACAAGGATGTTACGAGTTGCATTCGACACCATCTGGAAGAAACACCTAACAATGGAACACCTGTATGGGCACCTTCCTCCCATCTCTGTTTCGCTAAATGAGAGAAGGCTTCGGCTAGCTGGTCACTCTTGGAGAATTAAGTCAGAACTTGTAATTAAAACCTTCCTATGGAACCCATTGCGCGGCAAAATATCGGTTGGAAGGCCTCATTATACCTATATTGACGAACTTGTAGATGGCTCTGGATACCGTCTGGAGGACCTGACGACGAGTCGGAAGGAACGAGTCAGGAGAATTCGCGAAGAATTCTCGAAATATCAGAGATAGAGATAGAGATTATAAATTTAAAAGTGAACGCTGAAGTCAACACTTAGAAGAGACAGGCTGTTTCATGCTAGACGTCATCGTGGCCTGACAATTGCGTCTAGCATGAAACAGCCTGTTGCCTGTAAGTGTTGACTTCAATATTCACTTTTATATTTATATATCTGTGTGTGTGTGTATGTGTGTGATTGTGTGTGTGTTTAGAGAGAGAGAGAGAGAGAGAGAGAGAGAGAGAGAGAGAGATGAAGGTAAAAGTTTAGAAAACAGGTCGGAAATCTTACAAACAAGCTTAAAGCCCCAGTCTTTATAACTTTAAAGAATCTCAACCTCAGAAATACGGACAATAGCCCCCACGATTAGTTTTCTAGTCTGTATAGATTCCTGTAAAAAAAAAGAGAGGAGACTTAATATCTGATATTCAAATAGAAATAAGTTGGGCTCTCATCTGTATTTTTTCATGTAAGATAATGACAATCCCTTAGGTCTACATGTCAAGGCTTATCTATCATCTTCAGTTAGAAATGCCAATAACAACTCATATAAGGACTTTAATACTAATCGATTCATATATAATCATAAAGCAGTATCTTGAACTATAACGAAAAACGTGTGTGCAACCTAAGAAATAATAATCTTCAACACGGATCTACAAATTTCAATGATATTTTATATTTATTCATGTATTTTTTATAAATATTTTATATTTATTCAAGTATTTTTTATAAATATTTTATATTTATTCAAGTATTTTTTTTTTTTTTATAAATATTTTATATTTATTCAAGTATTTTTTATAAATATTTTATATTTATTCAAGTATTTTTTTAAATATTTTAAATTCAAGTATTTTTAAAATATTTTATATTTATTCATTTTTTTATAAATATTTTATATTTATTCAAGTATTTTTATAAATTTTTAACTATTTTAATTTATTCAAGTATTTTTTATAAATATTTTATATTTATTCAAGTATTTTTATAAATATTTTATATTTATTCAAGTATTTTTATAAATATTTTATTTTATTCAAGTATTTTTAATAAATATTTTATATTTATTCAAGTATTTTTTTATAAATTTTTATATTTATTCAAGAAAAATATTTTATATTTATTCAAGTATTTTTAATAAATATTTTATATTTATTCAAGTATTTTTATAAATATTTTATATTTATTCAAGTATTTTTTATAAATATTTTATATTTATTCAAGTATTTTTTTGTATTTTTTATAATATTTATATTTATTCAAGTATTTTTTTATAAATATTTTATATTTATTCAAGTATTTTTATAAATATTTTATATTTATTCAAGTATTTTTTATAAATATTTTATATTTATTCAAGTTTTTTTATAAATATTTTATATTTATTTATTTTTTTCAAATTGAAAGAAAAGAAAGATTTTTTGTGTTTTTTAACAGGGGAAATATTGTGTAAGTATGTTGTTGGCGGTGTGTAATTGCACACTTAAAGATGTGTGTGCAGTGTGTAGATAAAAGGTAGTAGTAACTTCCACGAGAACGCACCACAAGCGAATAGGAGAGGAAGGTAAGAGAATTGCGTTAACTTGATGAAGAAAAAAATATTGTAATCGTCTGCCGATTCAAATAATACTGCGCGTCTGATATGAGGATTCTGATTGGCTTTAATCTATACGCCTACAAAATTCAAATATTTGGAAGTCACCAATGTACAAAAGTTGAGTTACTTTCAGTAAAAATACTCAGATCCATTAGCAATTTTTAACCAGTCTTAAATGGGTCTCTACACAAGCATAGAAGAAAGTTATGGTGATTTTTTAAGGGTAGCTTAGATGCGGCTCAAACCCGAAAGTATAACTCATCCTGTGAGGAGCAAACTCACTATTCAGTCGGACTTGATCTAGAAAGACAAGCTTTCTAATCATTGCACCAAGTCGAAGTGCCCAAGTTGAGTAATTTATGATATAGCGAATCTCCTTACCTCGAAAATCCGGGCAAAAATTACGACAGCCACAAAGCTCAAAATACTATTCTTTATCGATTTCTATGTAACAATTACAATTTCTAATCTCAAAAGTGCTACAGATATCATCAAGTCATCGGCGCATTTCTTAATTATTTCAGCGAAAGCAAGGTAATAAAGCCACTAAGACGCAAGACGATATTGAGTGTGAATGGATTAGGGAGAAAAGGAAAACATAATTAAGGAGAGAGAAAAATAAAAGAACAATAATTAAGAAGACGGAAGATAACTGTTGTGATGTGGCGTGTGGCAAGACACAATATTTAATTCGACAGAGTCAGCAATGATAGTGATATTCAATTCTCAGCTAGACACGTCACTGAAATTGTCTATGACAATTACCCAGAACGACTTATCATGAATGGATCAGTCCATTCATAATATTAAGATGGTAACTGTCTACTACCATAACAATAACGATTGAGATTGCATTTAAATATTTGAAGAGCAGCGTTAACTGGGAATCAAGAAGCTAGAAATTAGTTTCACAAGCGAGAAGTGCGAGAGAAGAAATTGTTAGCATAGAACTTACGGTGACATCTAGGCATTCCAACTGTAAAATGGTGAGACCTAGCTGTCGAGTACTTTGCTTAAATTCATACAAACTAGGTACCATAGGTAAAATCCCACCAGCAGAGTTACAATGAAAATAGAAAAATCAAAGGAATCTACATTACTGCGGTGAGAAATTGACTGCAACCAAGACGCCAGGCCAGCAACGATAACATTTCTGATTGTTCTTTATATTTTATCACGGATCTCTAAATACACTGCAGAACCAGGAAAGATGCTTGACTTGTTAGACATTTTGACGGTCGTCTTCGAGTATAGAATCCAGAGGTTAGCAGTGAATATTTCGGAGACAGTAGGAAAGCGTAGTTCAGGTTAGAAGTGGATATCGCAGCAAAGTAGCAGAGCGTAGTACTTCCTTCTGTCATCTTCGCCTGACAAGTTGGCACTGGTCATTCTGGTAGGATAAACAAAATGGCCGCCTTTATACACGACGGATAGAATGTTCTGCGTCTTCTGATTGGTTAACTTTCTATTGGTAGACTATAAAGCGAGTCAAGGCATTTGGATTGGCTCACTAGTTACTTAGTATACACAAAAAACTGTAACATGACTTGTTAAGGTATAAGATATAGAGATATATGCTTTCTTTATCCAGAGTACTCTAGAAATCTTCTTCGGACAGTCCGTTTTTATTATTACAAAGACATTGCTAACAGATGGCGAAAAGGAGATAAGTCAAATAGAGCAAACTTTACTGACAAAAATGTATAAATGCATAGGACACATGATAGATCAGGATAGATATATAAGATTAAAGATAAATATAGGTAATTAAACTCGTCTCGGACGATCCGCTTAGGTGAAACCTTGGTAGGTTTGTCTGGCTCTCTAGGTTTGACTATGATTAAAGATAGATAGATAGATAGATAGATAGATAGATAGATAGATAGATAGACATTGAGAAAGACAGACTAAGGAGAAAAACAGACATATACACTGATAGACAAAGAGAAAGACAGACTGATTGTGGTTATATATATACACACACACACACACACATATATATATATATATATATATATATATATATATATATATATATATATATATATATATATATATATATACGTGCATATATATATATTTTCTTCTTATCTATTCCAGGAATTTCAAATTCTAGCTATGTATTTGTAATAAGATGAACAATAAACTAGTTGAATAATATAATCTGACATTAAACTATTATGAATGTAGGAAAGTATACATACGCAAACATGTATATGTATGATTATTTGGTAGAGGTTAGTAATTATTTTAGATCTATCACTTGCGATAAAGTATTAGAGAGAGAGAGAGATATAGGAATACTGAACATGGTGAGATAGATAGATAGATAGATAGATAGATAGATAGACAGACAGTTTTATCCCATATTATTCATAATTACTTTAAAGGTTATTTTAGTGAATACCTGTGTTTGAGTTGTATGTATTTTATTTTATTTTATTAAAATTAATAACAGCAGAGGAATTATTGAGCGACGGCTTTTCACTTCAGGACTTCTCAGTTTAGGCCGGTTTTGATTAAATATATGTAAATCTTAAAAATAATGCCGTCGTAAGGAATTATCCTAAGAAAACTCACCAGACAAAAAAAAAAAAATGCTCGATGTCAAAAAGAACTACCATTGTGTTATTTTCTTAATTTCCGGTGTATATTGACCGACAACTACTATTTGTTTCATACATTTCTACGCAATCATCAGGAAATCTACAACTCCACTACCTCAAGC